TGTATCTCCCCAGAGCCATTTTGACCCCAACTTACTTCCTGAAGTCCCAATGGAATCAGCAAGGTCTGGGCCTGAGGGTAGGGGGGATGCTGGAGAAAGCACCAGAAGGGTCTGGAAGGAAGGGGAGGGGAGGCAGGAGGGAGGTTCTGTGTGAGCTATCCCCAAATTACTCCAAAATTTAGTGCAGTCATATATCAGCTTGTATAGTTTGTGTGGGTCAGGGATTTGGGCGGGGTGTAGCTGGATGGTTCTGCTTGCCTTGTCCGGTGAGGTTGTTGTCAGATGGTGTCCTGGTCCCTCTGAAGGCTCTCCTGGGGCTGGGGCAGGGTGGGGGTTGGGGGCTTAGTTCCCGGGCCCCCTTCGGGAAGAAATTTGTCTCCCCCAACTTCCTCCTCCTGTTAGGACACCAGTCATCAAAGATTGGCCCCCACTTAACGCCCTCATTTTAATATAATTGCATCCCTAAAGATCCTGTCTCCAAATAAGTTCATATTCTGGGGTGCTGGGGGTTAGGACCTCCACATAGGCATTTTTGTGGGGACACAAGCGACTCCCAGCCCTCTGCCCTAGAATCAGGCTGGCTTAACTTCCCTTCTGTTTTTCCTCCCTCCTCTCAAGGCCAAGTCCCTCCTCCACAGGATAATTTACCTGATTCAAGATCTTTTCCTAGGTGTCCCTGTTCTGAAGAACCTGAACTGTGACCTCTGGCCCTCTACCAATTACAACAGTATCAAAGTACAGAAGGGAATGGCCACTGGATCTCACATTTCAATAAAATACTCCCGTGCCCTCCTCCCCACGGCCGCTCCAAGTCTCCCCTCATACCTTCTCCGCCCTGCTCTGGCCGATGGCATCCGCCGTTGACCGAGCGTTCGTGTCCCTCCAAAATTCATGTGTTGGGCCTTGAACTCCCCAGTGTGCTGGCATCTGGAGGTGGGACCTTCGGGAAGTGATTAGGTCGTGTGCAGGGCGTGGGGCAAGAAAGATTGAGAAGACCCATCCTCCCAGCCACTCTCCCGGGGAGGTCCCCACCAGGAAGCGGCCCTGCAGGTGCACAGAGCAGGCGCCACTGGCATCCTGGAGCTGGGTGGAGTAGCTCACTAAAACCATACTGCGTTCTGTTTAATCTCAAGGCAAAGGGGACCCAGCTCTGCTCCTGGTGTTTGAAGGGCCTTGTTTGGAAGAGGAAGTGATCATGAAGGCCGAAGGAGAAATTGGCCAGCTGTCAACCATAAATCGCACAAAATCAGTCACAAATATTTACTGAGCTCTGCCCTGAACTCCCGGCAGAGGACAGAAGGAAGCCCGGGACGGGAGCCACATAGCTGTGTATTCCAGACAATGATGGAGCACACCGTGTGTGCCTGTTACGGGCCGAGTTGTATCCCCCAGAAAGATAGGTGGAAAGCCCAACGGCCAGGACCTCAGCATGTGCCCTTATTTGGACATAGCGTCTTTGCAGGTCAATTAGTTAAGATGAGGTCCTGGTGGGGTAGGGTGGGCCCCGCCTCCCACGTGGCCGGTGACACAGACCCTCGAGGGGTAGGTGCTCTGGGATGACAGGGGCAGAGACAATGGGCTTCCAGCCTCCAGACTGGGAAGGAATAATTTTCTATTGTTTTAAGGCTCGCAGTTTCGTTGTTACAGAAGCCCGGAAGAACTGATAGAGTTTCACGCCTACCTAGTAAATGGCTTGGACAAGCATTGAGCCCCTGCCAAGCTCCTCACTTAGCACATCAGCAGATTAGAGAACAGGTTGCTGTGTTCCTGGTCGGCTAGGGAACCCAGGGGCCAGCAAGAGGAAGGCACTGGGTGTGAGTCAAGCAGGGTGTGACCTGGTTGAACCTGGGAGGCCGTGGAGGCTATAGGGGCGTGCCACACAGGTGATCCAGGAGTCCCATCCCCGCTCATGGTTTGTAAGTCCCCCGAAACCCTCAGAGGCCAGAGAGCTCTTTCCAGAAGAAACGCAGGCTCGTCAACCGGATACCTCTACCTGAATTGAGCCAACCCAGCCAGGGGTCTGGGAGCCTTGGGTCACAACCAGGCATTGAGCCCAACCAGAAATGAACTCCTGGGCGGTACCATCCCTTCTGGCAGCTTGGACTTGAACACAAGGAGCCAGGGAGGTGGGGTTTGCTGCATAAGGTTCATTTCTCAGCTCAGCTGATGCCTCCGCTCCCTAAGCCCAACATGGAACACGCTTCGTTCGCACAGTGGCTCAGAGAGGACCCATAGCTCCGTGGCTGAGTGCACACGCTGGGCACAGGCTGAGGCTGCCAGGCTCCCACCCTCACTCACTGTGTGACCCTGGGCAAGTGACTTCCCTTCTCTGAGGATTAAAACAGGACCCTGCTAAAGAACCACATACTGTATGAAATGTCCAGAAAAGGCAGAGCCATAGGGATAGAAGAAAGCAGACTGGTGGGTGCCTGGCTAGTGAGTGCTTATGGGTTCAGGCTTGCTTTTTTTGGGGGGGGTGTGTGTGACGATGTTCTTCAGTGATTATAGAGATGAGTGCACACCTCTGCAGCCACTGGTTTCTTAAAAGATATTTTTTATTTATTTATTTGACAGAGAGGTAGAGAGCACAAGTAGGCAGAGCGGCAGGCAGAGAGAAAGGGAGAAGCAGGCTCTCTGCCAAGCAGGGAGCCCGATGCGGGGCTTGATCCCAGGACTCTGGGATCATGACCTGAGCCGAAGGCAGCCGCTTAACCGACTGAGCCACCCAGGCACCCCTGCAGCCACTGGTTTCTAAGCTACTGATCTGCAGGCCACTACAAACAATCCAATTGTATACTTTAACTGATTTGTGTACTTTACATTTTATAGTATGTGAATTCTGTCTCAACCAAACTGTTATAAAAAATGAACCACGCCTGGCACATGGACACATGTCACAAGTGTTGGCTATTATTGCACACAAAGCAAAGGGTGCTGGTAAGCATGGGCGCTGGGGCGGGGACCCATGGATTTCCACTTGTGCTTAAGGGTGTGCTGCTGCAGGTTGAAAGAAAAAAAAAGGCAGCTTTGAGACCATCAGGGAAATCATAATTTGGGTATTATATGATATTCAGAGATGATTTAATTTTAGGGCTAGTAACAGCATGGTGTTTGCTATACATTTTTAAATACCTTTTTTTTTTTAAGGATTTTATTTATTTATTTGACAGAGAGAAAGAGCACAAGCAGGGGCAATGGCAGGCGGAGGGAGAAGGAGAAGCAGACTCCCCGCTGAGCAGGGAGCCCAGTGTGGGGCTCGATCCCAGGACCCTGAGATCATGACTTGAGCCAAAGGCAGAGACTTAACTGACTGAGCCACCCAGGCGCCCCCATTTTTATTTTTATTTTTTTAAAGATTTTATTTATTTTTTAACAGAGAGAGAGAGAGACAGTGAGAGAGGGAACACAAGCGGGGAGAGTGGGAAAGGGAGAAGCAGGCTTCCCGCCGAGCAGGGAGCCCGATGTGAGACTCGATCCCAGG